TACAGTAAATTCTCTACAAGTGTCAGTCCGCAAGGAACCTAAACCTGACACTTGTAGAGTCAGGGACTACGTTTTCGAACCCCGCGCCCACCTTTGTAGTAAGGACAGCGAATAAAAGATAAGGATGAAACGTGGGTCGAGGCAACCAAGCGATTTAAATACCAACTTTTTTAATTTTACGTTTTTTTATCCCGAAATTTTTCTTAACATATTGATGAGATTTTTCTGATGAAAATGACATCAAACACGATATAATTTGAACAACATTTACTTATTAACACGTTCACTGTCACGCCAGATATTTCACTGTATTGAGATAAAACAGGCGCCCTGTATTACATTACATAGAGTCGGCCTACCCGTTTGACTGCCAGTTGGAGAATTGGCCTGCAGTTTGACTGTCACTTGTAGAATCGGTCCTACATTTTACTGACACTTGTAGAATCGGCCCTACATTCTTTTTTTTTACGTGGAGGTAGGCCGACATTAAATTAATTACTCAATAAGTATTAATAAGTAAATGTTGTTCAAATTATATCGTGTTTGATATCATTTTCATCAGAAAAATCTCACCGACATGTTAAAAAAAATTTCAAATGAAGAAAAGTAAAATTAAAGAAATTATATTTTTCTAATATGAATTGTCGAGCCGTGTAATCTGGTAAAAGAAACCGAGAGGTGTAGCGTTACACTCTTGACTGACAGCGAGCGAGATAACATAGGTGCAGCAATGACGCAGACCTAGGCCCATCTATACTGAAACTTGTAGAATCCAAACTGACTGACACTTGTGGAGAATTTACTGTAGGTCGTGTTGAAAAGAATGTCTGAATTAATATAAAAGAGGTCACGTTGCTTTCTTGACACGTTCTTTTCACGTGTATTATATTTAGGCTCCAATGTAGATTCTGTCATATTTAAATTCATTTCCTGGCAATAGTCCATTAATACGCGAATGAAAACGACCACAGCCGCCCCTAGAGATTGCGGGGCCCGGGTCAACCCAGCCCAGACGAAGAGACCATTTAAGAATAACGAAACATTCACAGTTAAAAGTGAAATAAGTACGTTAAAAAATTGGACGCCTCGGCTGTTACAATTCTATTCATTTATTTTTCATTAAAAGTGGAAGTAACTAGGTCAGGGCAAGTGCCTCGTTTTCCCGGTGCTAAGAGCGGTACTGAAAAAGATGACCCCAAAGTTTCTCGCCTCTGTATCTTTCGATTGGTAGTTAACGAATGCAATACTGCGCTGTTTACCCTCTTGGAGACTATTTTAGGCGAAAGAAATGTCAATTAACCACAGCGGGACCTTGTTCGTCCGTCGGGGATATTTATGCGTCCCATTTTTCACATGATCCTGTTTTCACGGGGTGATACGTGGGATCTTTCGACTCCTCTCCTCGATGCACAATGCATCGCTGATGATATATCCTGCAGGTTCCGAAATTGAATGGTGTCTATTTGCACGGACGACACGTGACAAAGCGTTAGGGACAGACCTGACACACGACTACACCCCACGCGTTTTATTTGTTTAATTTAAGAGCATTGTGCCGCGTCCTTTTCATTTGCGAACGCTCGATGTATTTCGCTCCTACCTATTTCCTGTATTCTTAACGTGGGAGAAAGTTGCAATTCAAAGTGAGAATTATTTCAATCTATTCATCGGCCATTTTTCGATACAGTATCTTGCGCAAATCTCTGTGTATACTTTACGAGCTTATTTCCCATAACATATTCTTTGTCGCACGTGTATTTACGCAACTGCTTGCTTCGACCCCTTCGCGTTCATAGTTGAGCTGCTCATTTGCCAAACCGGTTAACTCCACGAAACAAAAAGTAGGAAAAATTGATAAAATTATATACGACAAATATAAATTTTAATATTTTTTATATCGTTGCATTAAAACATTATTTACAATTAGCTACATTCTTATAAGCGTTTGAATTACAACGTTTTACTTTAGTGTGTGGAGTTAATCACGTTGTCTTCTGAAATAAATTATTAATTATACAACGACCATAACAATTTTTGTCATCTAGTGGTGTAAGCCTAATAATTAAGGAAACTTATTTTAAATACAAAAAGATAAACATTAATCACGTGCTTTGATATTAAAATTTAAAAAAATTTTTTAAATGGAGTTTACCACTTTTAAAATTAAATAATTAATTTTAGTTTAATGTTACTACTGCAAAATTTTCTGTATATTTTACATGTACGTTAACTTATATTGATAAAATATAATTGGTATTTATTACCCTTACCCATTGTTAGATGAACAGTTTTTCGTGACATCAACTTGGTGATGCTTGTTTTGAAACACCCTACGCTTGTAGGTAACAGCGCGCGTTGCGACATCTGATGGTAAACAAGAAAACTGTAGATCTTCTTTACACGAATTCACTCTTGGTAAACAAGGGATCATTTTAAGCGCGAAATAATTTCTAATATTAACCCTTACTCCGTAAAAGTATTTTTGGTACCTATAAACCGTAAACGTGGGTTATTTATGTTCGACGTAAAGTCTTTTAAAAAATCTCAAACGATTCACATAGATTCTTTAAACATTCGAAATAAGATTCCACAACACAAGAATTTTTTCTAAGAAGAGGAACGAAAGTCCCTTGCATATTTGTTTCAGAGAAGTCAATACCTTTGAAACTAAGCCGGACAAAATTGACATGTTTTCTGTATGAAATAAAATTGATATCAAATTTTGGAGATGCAATGTTAAAGTAATAAAAGTTTATGTCATTTGTAAAATTTTATTACTTTAACATTAATACCACAGACGAGACCTTGTCTGTGTTGACACACAATAAAATATGAATTTATATACAATAATACAATATTATAATAGTACTTGCAACAATATAAGTAGTAAAATGTCAAATTTAAAAATGCTCCTTGAAGGAACAATTAAGAAAATAATAATGCTAATTTGGTCTTCGTTAGTTAGTTACTTTCTGGAAAATTAAGCAGCATGTTACTGTCTATGTGTATCATTTACTTTCAAAAGAGTCATTTAAAATATCTAAATAACAGAAACTAAAGTACTAATCTGCAATAAGTATTAATTATACTCTTGTTAATTACATGCCCATGACTTATAATTCTATTACATTCGAAATTGTTAGAAAGAGGTTAATATTTTTAGTAGTAAGATATTCATTTATGTATTCAATTATACTTGAAATAATAGAAGATGCAATGTTTTCACAAATTTCAATAAATAACGTTTTATTATTACACATTATAATATACCTTCGAGTGTTTGTCATAGTTTATATCATTTCATTTAAGACATAAATAAATAAATATAATAAATACAACAAAATATAATAACATTAAATAAATGATTATTTCAAGTATGAGACAAAGTTCCGGTAATTTTTCATTTTTGCCTAAATAAATACAAGCTCGGCACAGATGTTGGCATCGCAAATTTGTCAAAGTTAAAGAATAAATTAGCAAGAGATCAAATTTAAGAGCTATTCAGTTATAAGAGCTGAGTGTCTAGAAGTACCAAACTGCCAATTATCTTTGTCATTATCATGTATTATTAAACATAGGTGTAATAAAATCTAACGTACATTATATCGGAATAATAACTAAATGATCACGAACAAAATTGAGCAGAATCGTTAAAAAATTTCTGACATTCAAAATCTATCAACCTAAGACACATAATTAACTTACTTTACAACGAAACAACGCTACTGTGCATGTAAACGAATGCGTTTTGTTAACTTTATACATGTAATACCGTTTAATTCTCTGCCGGACAGTTTTTCTGATCTGTACGGATAAAGTACGCTCTGCTTATACTATTTTTATCTAATACTTGATACGCCTTTTCTAAAACGGCTACTGGTGGCTTTGGTTCTCTCGCCAGAATCCAAACGTTCCTCATGCTGAAATACACAGGACAGCAATATGTTAATGAATATTGTTTCGTTAAATAATTGAGCCGCTCGGAAGCCGAACTGACCAACTCCACCGAATCAAATTTATTTAGTTTACTTTATTTATGAGAAATTAGTACTTTGGTACTAAAATTGGAAGAATATCGGGAAGTGGAGTTAACCATTTTGGCTTCTGAGTGGCTCAATTGTTGCTTAAAAATATTGAAATTTTGCTACCTAAATACTCCAAAATTCGAACAACTCCACACGACCGCATAGGTTGTGTAATCGGTGTCGAGGATCCAATAGGGTGCACCAACTTGCACAGGCAAGGACGGGAACGTAACGGTTAGTTTCGCTTGATCCGCCCTAAGAAATGGCTTTCCAACCCCTTCGATACTTGACGAGATCCCGGTCCTAAACAAATAATAGAAATTAACAAAATATTCACCAATTCGCTTCGTTAACCCTTTCGTCACTATTGGCGCCTATAGGCGTTTTGAAAATTTCCTCGCACCTACTGTCGTAGCACTTCCACCTTAGTTCAATATTTAATTTTATCAACTAAATTTTAAAACGACAAATTTTGCAGCCGTGGTTAAAAATTTATCGACGGTCGCCCATTTTAAAATCTGCCATAGTGAAAGGGTTAATCATTAATACTTTTACAAATTGTATAATATTAGACCAAGTACCAACGTAATATTATTGGAAATTTTTTGAAGAAAATATACAATCGAAAAGATATTTGCAGAAGGTGATTGAACCTGTACTCACAAGGCGGATATTTGCTTGTTCAAAATGTTGACAGAGTCATCTTCGGCCTCGCTGAATGTGGCAGTCACGCATTTTCCGCCGAATTCAAAAAATGCGAAATATTTCTCGATCTCGTACCACTTTCCCAGATACTGTAAAATAACAACGGAATGCAGGCATTCGTTCTAACGATACCTGCCGGAAAGAAACTTTTTAGCACATCTTGAAGAAAGTCTGAATGAACCTTGTTTGAACTTGAATACTTTACATATCACTTGTAACGTTGGATATAAATCGATGTCTTATCGGGGACAACTTTCTAAATTGCAGGTTGCATTGCTTCATAAGTAAGTCAATAACACAGATATACGCAAGAAATCTATTTTAGTTTCTAGTAATGCACTAGAAGAAATGCGACGACACGTGCTTACCTTCACCACGTTGAAATTCGGTATTGTTTCTAATATGGGACAGGTGCCCAGAAATGGTACTTGTGCCATCGTGACACTTGCAGTTAGTAAAATTAAGTATATCCGTAACATCGTCCCTTCTGTAAACAGAATTATTAGATTATGTTAAACTGTGTGTTGCTACTAATATACCGGGTGTCCCAGTTCCTTCCGATCAAACTTTGTCAATATATTCTAAGGGTATAAGTAAAAAGGAAAAGATGTTGTACAGGGTGAGCCGCGTAACCGTGGTCACCTTCGATTAGTCTCTCATTAATGGATCGATCAAAAATCTTTTTAGATCGCATAATACTAGATAATCCTAGTCATTCGTAGTTATACTTTCTACTTTGTACTTTCTATCGGTTATTTTTCTTTCAAGTTTTCACGGTCACCGTCTTTCTACGACAGATCTACGTTCATCCACGAAAGACTGAAGGTGACCTTGGAAATTTCGGAAAAATTGAAGCAACCGACGAAAACTATAGTACAGTCACCTTAATGGACCTTTTCGAAAAGAAATTTCGATCAGTCCAGTAATAACGAAGTAATGTAAGGCGATCATGTGTTGTGGTATAAGTATAGGTGGTGTGAAACTTTATCGAAAGGTTATAACAATACGAAATACGAAGAGAATGGTAACGAATGTGAGGTTATGTTACAAAATTGGAATAGATCAGCGATATGTACATTTAATCTGTTCGTGTAAGCTGTGTTCACGTTGTCGAAGGTAACTTCTGCCAGTGCCATTCTTGTCTTGTGTCATAGTAACCGCACGTTCGTTACCGTTCCTTTCGTATTTCGCAGTTTTCGTTATTACTCGTTAACGAAGCTTCAGACGACCTACGTTTGTATAACATTTGTTTGTCACTTATAGCCAGAGAAGATACTGGCGAAGTTTGACAAAATTTGATCGAAAAAAGTGGGACACCCTGTATATTGTAGAATGTAATATCAGACGAGCATATGTTGTGTTTGAATGTAAACACAGAACTTAACAATTCATATTTTGTCCTACATATAGAATTATCATTTTCGTTTATTACTTATTTTATGTACAGCGATGATTGTTGCATTGCGAGTAATGAATTATTAATAAAATTCAATTATAGCACATAAAATTCTCTGATCGTTTTATCAAATTTTGAATTGTTACGATTATACTAATGCATAATGCGCATCTTTACGCAGCCTGAGCTTTTAGAAGAAAGCGCGGTCTTCGACAGAGTAGTTAGCTTTCAGTTGCTGAACTTATAGAGAAGCAGTGACATTTATTTGTTTGCAATAGAAAGTAGTGTTAAATTAGACTTTTCATAAAAATGTCAACTTGATAAATAGTCACTTTACGATATCATATTTTTATAGTGCACATTTCTAAATATTTCAAATGAAATTTTATGTTGTTTATAAACAAATTTTACTGTGCTCCTTTCGGTCTTTATATTAACTAATGCAAGCATGAATTCTACAAATAGAAATATGTGATCGCAACTTAACTGCCGTTCATAAGTATTAGGATACCTATTATGTTCGTACAGAAAATATTATACGAGCTGTTTTTTTTGGAAATAATTAATTAAGCCTAGTTTCAGCTAAACATGGATGTCTTCTTTTCATATTTATAATAGCAAAGTTAACGCGCTACAGTATCCTCATGAACTTTTGAGAAGATAAATGCTTTTCTTGAAAGTGGTACAAGTCCATTTGTAGCTGAAAAACCTTGTTTCTTTAACAGCATTATGACATAATAAAATTTAACATGTTTACGAATTTAGAAATATTAGACGAAATTATTAACGCTTGCCAATATTTTTCAACTAATTCCTTTAAATATCTCAATATAAGAATAGACGGACTTGTACTATTTTAAAAAACAACGGCTCATACGATTTAAATTACATTTCGTTTCTCCAAATTTTGAATTTATTAGTAAAACAACCGAATTCGTTACCAAGTTTTAGATCATGGAGTTGATTTCTCCAATATCTCCAAGTACTGTTAGAGTTGTCTTTCTTTAGCATGCCACAGCTGCAAGGAAAGTACCATTTCTGATACGCCAATGCAGAAAATGTCAATTTACAAAAATTAGGGAAACAAACGAAATAAAACTAAAATTTAATTATCCCCTTTTTTTTTTAAACTTACGAATTAGTGATGCTATCGCGAGAATTCAAACTGTGTAATTCCTTCTGTATCTTAATAATTTTGTAACGACTGTTTAGATTTAGTCCACATGCAACAAGTGTCCTAATACGTATTCTTACTTTAATTATTTTCCAACTTGAAAATTTGCATTCCTTTTCCACCAATTAACTAAAAGTATCGTAGAAAATATTTGCAAGAAAGAAAAAGGTAAATTTTAAACTGAAAATATTGTCTAGGAAGAAATAAGAAAGAATTCGTCAAAAGAACTACGTTGCTACATATGTTCTCCAACGACGTAAGAATGAACGTT